CGTCTGTAACTCCAGTTCCAGGGGATCCGACAGCCTCTTCTGTCCTCTGTGGGCATTGCATGACAAGGATGTGACAATGCCTACATGCAGGCAATACACACATACACATAAAATAAAAATAAAGTGTTTTCTAAAAAAAAATAAATAAAGACTTCTGGGCAGGGCATGGTAGTGTACACCTTTAATCCCAGCAGAGGCAGATGAGTGTCTGTGAATTTCAGCTGGAGGGAAATCAGGACTGAAGAGATGGTTTAGCTGTTAAAAGCACTTGTTGTTAAGGACCTATGTTCAGAGCACAGTGGCTCACAACTTCCTGTAACTCCAGCTCCTGGGGTATTTGATGCCTCTGGTTTCCAATAGAACTCACACTCAGGTGTATATATCCCCACACAGGCACATATGCATACATACAATTAAAAATAAGAGGCAGGTGTGGTGGCACATACTTTTAATCCTAGCACTCAGAAGGCAGAGGCAGGCAGATTTCTCTGAGTTTAAGGTCAGCTAGGGCTACATAAGTGAGACCCTGTCTCTAAAAAACAATAATAAATGTGTTCTCAACAGTGGCCAAAGCCCTCCCATTTAGACTTGTTCTGCTACTTTTCTTAAACTACAGTTTTCAGAATCTGAACTACACCTTATCTTGAATTCACTAGGCAGCGCTTTAGGGCCTGGTATTGTTCATCCATGGCTTTCTCTCAGGTTGATGGGCATCCACACTTCTTAGGTGTCATGTTTATACCTATGTGGAAGCAAGTGGGACTTAGAGATCTTTGAAAAGCCCCATTGGGTCAGCCTGCCTGAGCTACTGTGGTGTAGCTGTTTCTTCATGCTTCCTCCTTGCCCCACGCCTCAGAAAGAAATGGAAGTGCCTTATGACCCAGGTACTCACATGTGCATTTCTTGCTTCACAGATCTTACAGGTCATCAGACGGCCGGACCACCCCTCAGCTGGGCAGTGCCAACCCCTCCACCCCACAGCCTGCTTCTCCTGATGTCAGTAGTAGCCACTCTCTCTCAGAGTTCTCCCACAGTCAATCCCCTAGGAGCCCCATTAGCCCAGAACTGCACTCGGCCCCCCTCACTCCTGTGGCTCGGGACACTCTGCGAAACTTAGCCAGTGAAGACACCCGTTGCTCCACACCAGAGCTAGGGCTGGATGAACAGGTGAGGAGTACTGCCTTCTCACGGGGTGAGGGTGAGGTATGGGGAAGAACTGGGAAAGGACAGCATATGCTGAAGATGGGAGCTTCATTTTATGCCTTCCTCTCCCTCATTTTGAGGAGACTGGAGGCTAGACTCAAGTCTGACAGAAGGTACAAATAGATGTGTAATGGCTGTTGTTCAGAGGGTACCCACCCTGGGAGGGATCTTCCCAGATTTTCCAAAAATACCTCTTGCATTTGTCATAGGGTCTAGGCTACAGATTTAGGGGCAAGACTTTGTGGCAGGGAATGAACTGGGACTGGGTCTCACCATAGCATCTTGTCTGCCTGAAGTCTGTCCAGCCGTGGGAGCGGAGGACCTTCCCCCTGGCATATAGTCCCCAGGCAGAATGTGAGGACCAGCTGGATGCACAGGAACGGGCAGCCCGCTGCACTCGACGCACCTCAGGCAGCAAGACTGGCCGGGATACAGAGGTGGCACCTACCTCACCTCCTGTTGTCCCTCTCAAGAGTCGGCATCTGACAACAGTCACAGCTCAGCGGCCAACTCACAGATGAGTGAGAGATGAGACTATATAGACTCACTACTATTGGCATTAAAGCTTCAGAAATAATCTGCGTTTGATATTCAAACATCATATGCCGGAGATTTTCACAGTTTTTAGTGAATTTAAGGAATTTAGATCCTTTTTTTTTTTTTTTTTTTCCTCCCCTTTTTCTCATTTTGATTTTTGTTTTGTTTCCATGTTTTGTTGTCACACCTGAGCACTTCCTCCAGTTAGCAGACAAGTGAAGGATAAGACCATGCTGGCCTGGTCCTGGCACACCCTCTACACTGTTGAATCACTGGATTTCCCAATGTTAGACGATCACCCCTCTCCCTTGCACCTGTGGGTAGGGTGGACTGACCAAATGGCAGAGGGTCAAAGTTCCAGGTCAGCATGGCCTTAGGGTGGGATAGGGCAAGGGCACTCTGAGCTCTCACCCTTCTCTCCAGTCTATGGTTTGGCTTAGCTCTGGCTGGGCCCCACAGTCTTCTGTGCTGGAGCACCCCACCAAACCTCTCTGCTGGGCGGCCAGTTCTCACTGAGCTCTCAGTCAGCAGAAAGCTAGCTTCTCCTGTCACCTGGCCCTTGAAGACCTGTCATCTGCATTTGGTCATCGCTTTCTTGGCTCCTCAACTGCAGTAACCTGTGTGACTGCTCAGGTCGCTCTGTCCTGCCCTTCCCTGTCTGCCTCCCCTAGCCATGTACTCACGCACACATTAGTACTTCCACTCAGAACCTATCTGGTCTGTGACGGTAGGATTCAGACTACTTAACCTGTCCCTGCTCCCCTGCGGAGTACATCCCATCATCCTAATACCATGTTTTCACTGACTGGTTCACATCCTCATGTTTCCTTCACCTCCCCATCCCCATCCGGGCCACTTAGACTCTTCCTCTCTCAAGCTCCCCTTGCCTGTGGAACACTGTCTGGTCCTAGCTGTGGTTTCCATCATTCCCCATCAACCTCCTGTTAACCTAGTGCCTGTCTCATGTATAATCACATCACCAAAAAAAGGGGAGGGGGAAAGGAATTTTCTTTTTCTGCCATTTTATAATCGTATGAAAATAAGTAGGCAGATTGCTTAATGGTTGGGGTTTTTTCACAATTTTCAACATTAGTGATTTTGTTTTTTGTTCTGTTTGCAAGTTAAAAGGTTTGTCATTGTTTCTTTAAACAACAATAATGCACCATATCCCTATGCATAAAGTGCTTCTTCTATTTATAAGGTTGAAAATTCTGAATAACCCTTTTAGCATTGTAAAAAAAAAAACACACACACAAAAAATCAAAAAAACAAAAATTTAAAAAAACTTGTATTTTGTAAATATTTTCTTTTCCTGCTTTGAGCTGTGTAATGGCAGCGAAATACGTAGCTGTCTTTGTTCTATAGAAATGCTTTTCTTCAGAGAAGCGGATCTTTGTTAATGTCTTGATTCTTCTGTTTGCAAAGCACAGACTAGTGCTTTAAAAAAAAAAAAAAGGAAGGAAAAAATGAAAAAAAAAATAATAAAAAAATGATACAGAAAGTCTTGTGTCAGGCCTTTCTTGATATACTGGACTTGGGTGTGCATTGGTAGGGGTTTCAGAGACGAATCTACAGGGCCATTCTTTGGGGTTCTGTGACTTGCTCCAAACCCTGAAAGTCTCATATCCTGTCTTCTGGGAACATGGCCAGGCAATGTGATTGGGAGGATTGTCTAAGGTAACAGGTGCCAGAAGAGGGGCCCACACAGACCACCTGCTCTTGCTGAGTGAATGCAACTAATTCATGACCTCTCGTCATCCCTTTTTCTAGGAGGTCAGCAGAATACTCCAAATTCTTGTCACCATCAAACTTTTTAGGGGGTGGGAGGGTTCAGTGAAAATGTACATTTTTGCATGGTGCCTGGGTTCCTTGTCAACTGAGAGAGGTCATAGCTACTTCTAAGGAGGCTGAGGACCTGCCTGATTTCTCCTGTACAAGATCAATGAACACATGGACCTCTGTCAAGTCTCAGAGCTATTGTTTCTGAAACCATTTCTCTGGCTGGCCTGATGGTGCTTCTAGATGCATTAAGATCTACTGGACTGAAGCAACAGTTTAAACTGAAAATCTAAGGACTCCTTTTGACCTGAAATGATTACCAAAGAATGGGGGTTGGGGCGTTGCTCAGTGAATAAAGTACAAGTGTGAGGACCTGAGTTTGAACCCACATAAAGCAGGGCATCTGTAATCCCAGTGTTCAGTGGGGAAGAGGCTGAGGCATAAGAAGTTAGGGGCCGATTAGCAGGGACTGTGCAGAAAAACAGTAAAAACACAAGGACTGGCACCCGAGGTAGTCCTCTGACCACACACATGCCAAGACACATGTTACACCCACAGTCACATGCATGTGGCCCTGGGTTCTGTCTGCAGCACCACATAAACTGGCATGATGGTGCACCTCTGTAATCCCAGCACCAAGGAGGTAGATGCTGGAGGATCAGGAGTTCAAGGTCACCCTTAACTACAGAGTTTGAAGCCAGTCTGTGCTACATGAGACCTTGTCCCAAAAACAAAATAGAGGTTCCTAGTTTTTGTTGTCCTTTGTGACATTGCCAGGAAGAAGCTGTCTGGTACCTGTAGCAGAAATACTACTCAGAGGTTGCAGGGGAAGTAGGAAGGCAACAGAATGTCGATATAAACGGAGAATTTAAACCAGTCATGCAGCCCACAGGCCTGGGTGTTTGCTTCAGACCTAGGCCCTTCCACTAATTTGCAGGGACACCCAACCTCCTCAGGTTTGAATGAGCTGGCATAAGCCGCTCAAAGCTTTGTGAGTGCAGCCCCAAGGGTGCTGATTGTGTGCCCCAGGGTAGTTTGCGAACACCAGGATCACAGAATGAAGACCTGAACTCTGCCTTCAGGATCCCAGGAAACATACTCTGCTGTCCAGCTTTTAACAGTTCTTTTACTTCCTGTTCTGAGTTCTCAAAGGGTGGCAAAGAACTTTGAAACATACTGTTTTATTGGAACCCATGAACAGAGACTTTATTTAATCAGAGTAATAACTTTATTTCCAAATTCACTTTTACAGCGACAGTCAGTGTAAATCATTTGTTAAAACACACAATACACTATAATGGACATTCACAGACAGGAAGCTAAGCTAAGATGATTTCGTGTCCCTCCCCCCACCCTCAAAATTACCAAAGAACTCATGGGACTTGCAAGTGCTGGAGATCGTCGTGCCCAGCAAAGTAACTGCACAGGCTCCATCCATCAGAAGGTGAGACTTGGAGTCACTGCCCAAGGCAACCCTTTCAGAAGTCTGAAGCTCACGAAGCCACAGACGTGGAGCTGATGACCACCTCTGCCCTCATCCCCACCTTATTTTACTGGAGAACAAAGACTAGGGTGAAGGAGATCTTGGTAGCTGCTAGAAGTGTAGGCTGTGAGTCTGAAGCCAGTCTAGAGATGATCCTGGGGTGCCAGTGGCTTAGAGGGAAGGAGGCTGGGGTTTCAAGGAGGCATGAATATGGACTCTGGACTCAGTTAAGAGGGCAGCAGGCCAGAGCAGGTCTTAGATTCCTACACAAGTCAGCTACACCAGACTGGGAAGTCCAGCTGGTTGGAACTAACTGGTTGTCTCTGCCTGGGAGAACCTGCCAGTGGAGTGGCTAAACCTCTGACTCTAGCCTCATGCCCCCTTCTCTCTCTAGCAAGTGGTCAAAATCATGAAAAGGGTTGCAGATGGCTTAACTGGTGCACTCCAACTTCCTTTTGCCCATGTGAACTCTCTTATGTTCTTCCTCCCCCCTCCCCCCACAGCACAAGCAATCTGAAAACATTTGTACCACTGAAGTCAATTTAAATGGAACTACTGATAAAGTGAATTGAGGGCTTGGAGCCACCAGGCATATGGTATACCCTATCTAGCCCACCCAAGGACATTGGCTCTGGAGTGGGGAGGCATGGAAGGAAGGTAGGAGTGCCGAAGCTCTGGGGGGATTGTCCTTATTAAATCCCTTTGTAGTCTACCTATCAGCACTGATTCGATCACCCTCAACCATGAGCTTTGGGCTGACCCCAGCAGCTTGATCTGTACAAGGGGTGGCAGAGCGCCCCCCATACACAGGGGCAGTAACTGCAGGAGGAGCAAACCGGTATAAAAGCACAGCCAAGATCGGCAATAAAGAAGGGTCCATATATCTTCAAACCACACTTCCTTTTTCTCCATCACACTCTTCAGTTCTAAGGGCAGCTGGGATACCCAAGAGCAGTGGGGAGCCTCACCATACAGTTCTGGGCCCATGCAATTCTTTAAAGAGAAAGTCCTGCTGCTTCCCATCCCCAATCCCCTCTCCCAAAGGGGTGGAACTCGGCCTGAGGCTGCGGAATCCCTGCCAAGGCCAACTCTTCTCTTCCCTGCAGCAGTGGGTGGGGCTTGTGCAAGGCCAGTGGGCTGACATCTTGGAAACCAAGGGGTGGGGGGATCCCCCAAGTTGTTGCGCTTCCTCAGTCAGGCTGTCCATCCTCAGTGAGGAGGCCAAGGCTGTCCCCCAGGGAGAACCTGGGGAGAGTCCAGGCCCAGGGTTGTTGCTGGAGATTCATGGAACCTGGGGCCACACTCTCCTGGGGGTCATTGGTGTCCTTTTATATGGGAGTTCTAAGACTGTCTTTCAGGCAGGGCTGCTGTGGAACTTGAGGCTGTGACCAGAGAGGCCCGTCTTCACTCTGCAAACCAGGCCAGCCACAAGCTCTTCCTGACAAAGGGAGCCTGCTGTCTCCAGCTGGTCCTGTGCTTCAAGCCTTGGCACCAGAAACCTCCAATGTCGGTCCGGTGTCTGTGGGGGTCACCAATGCAAAGGAAACCCTTCAAAACCTGGGATGCCCCAGCAGGGTAGCACTGCACTGGCTTCTGGGAGCTATCCCAATGGGGACAAGAGATATCCAGTCTTGACAAATACCTCTTGACAAATATTTCAAGATACATGCGTCCTTTTTTTTTCTTTTTTTTTTTCTTTTCACTATCATAGTCACTCTAGTGAACCCAGACATAAACAGACAAATCCAATTACAACACAACAGGGTGTGGATGGGGAGGGAAGGGTCACATCTGTGGAGGTGTTAGCTGCTCCAGCAGGACAGGCAGCACTGCTTGCACCGGGACTGGAGGAAAAACATTTCCAAGGGGTATGTTCCCCAAGTTGGGGTGTGGAGGGCTGATTCCGAACATGGAAACTTAATGATGTCTGGGCTCTGGGAAGCTGGCAATCACAAGTTGGGGTGGAAACAGAATGGAAGGAGAATGACCCTGTCCTAGGACTCTTGCCTGCCCAACCTGGTGCCAGCACTGGCACCTGATGCTGCCCCCAGCTCAGGACAGGAAAGGAGGCAATGGCTATCTCAAGTCATCAAGTCAATTGACCAGGGTCATTGCCAGGCCCCACCCCATCTGGGATAGGAGGTGAGGGAGAAAACTAAACAAGGTTCCTTGTGGGAGGCACACTGGTTAGATGTGTGGAACGTAGGGAGGCTGAGCCCTAACCCTTGTGCCTGGACTTTGCCTTCTCTGGACTCAACCCCTTAGCATACAGCAGGACTGGGGCTGGGGAAGGCTGGGCACTCAGGACAGTGAGACATGATCAAAGTACGGCAGTGATTGGCTCTCATGGCAGACATATGGGCACAGAGGGACAAGCAGAAGGGCTACAGTGGCCAGGGGAGGGATGGGAGGCCTGGAGCCCACCTCTCAGACATGCTCCCCCATCCCACACACACTGCAGAGGTTCTGGAGGCCCAGGTGAGAACAGGCAGATGTCCCCCAAGAGGCACAAGTCCTTACAACGAATTGGTTAGCCCTAAAATACAGTTCTGTGAGGTGGACAAAAAAATCGTGGCTTCGGTTCCAAACTTCAGAACTTAGAATAGCTTTTTCCACCGGGGCAGACGGAAGCCCCTCTGCTCAGGACTCCCATCCTGCAGGGAGTGGGAAAGAGACCAGCACTCCGGGATGTCAAGGTCAGCCTTTGTGGAAGTAATCCACAAGTTGCCACCTTCAACCCACCTTCCTTCTGCCCACTGTCCCTTCTCAAACAGGCCACCCCACAGAAGTGGCACGACTGACCCGCAGCACACCCCAGGGCCTCCCAGAACAGGAAGCCGCACCATTTAAGACCGCTGTAGAGCTGGGGCTACTTACCCTTTCTGTAATACTTGGCAGGGGCCAGTGTCCAGTCCCATCCTGTCCACCTCCCCTCTCTGCTTCACCACCCTGCCCACCCGCCTCCCTTTGTCTTCCCCACTAATCTTTTGTTGCTGTCACTGTCCCTGTGACACCCCCGGGATGGGGCTGCAAGCACTGGGTGCCTTAGTGCCTTCAAACTCCCAGAAACAGCTTCCAGAACCTCTCCTTCACCCTCTAATACTCAGAGAGGGGGAAAAAAAAGAATCAAAAATAATTGCCCAAGGAAATGTTGGGTGTGGCCATGTTTTTAACCTGTTTTTCTTTAAAAGTATTTTATTATTAGCCCACCAATCAATTTGGAAAGATGAAATTTGCTCTTTTTCCCCATCACTGATTTTGAAGTCCCAAGCCAAAGCCGAGCGACAAAAGCAGGTTAGGTGCCAGGCTCGTCTGTGAGGAGCAGCAGGGAGGGCGGAGGGTGAGGGGCCAGATCATTCTTTTTTTTCCACACTCTCTCACTCTCTCTTCTCTTCACGATTATTGACTGGCCCAGGGGCCTGATCACAAACCCTGCTTGGCTAGGGAGGCAGACACTTCATCGGCTAACGTGGCAAGCTGTGGCGAGTCTACCATGTTGATGCTGCCAGTGGAGGACACGTTGCTGAGGTGCCGTGGAGACGTGTCCCCTGACACCACCGGCGACTTGTACACGATTTCTGCCCCATGGTCTGTCTTGGCTTTGGCATTCTCCCGGAAGGTCAGCTTGTGAGTTTCAATCTGCATGGAGAAGTGGAGGGGACGGGAGAGTGAGATGAACTCCGAAAAGGAGACAAACTCTGCTGACCGTCCCCACCACCAAAGCTGGTCTGAGGTGGGAGGGAGCTGTGGAGCCTTTAGTTTGGGGATTGGGGGTGGTTTGAGACAGGGTCTCACATAGCACATGCTGGCCTTGAATTCACTATGTAGCTGAAGCCGACCTTGAACTTCTGATCCTCCTGCCCCCTTGTCCCCAATGGTATTAGGTATATGCCACCATACCTGGTGTATGTGGTGCTAGGGATTAGACTTGGTGCATGCTGGGCAAGCCCTCTACCAATGAAGCTGCATCCTAGCTTCCTCCCTCGCCTTCTGTTTACCATCTTCTGATTAACAATTGCCTATGTCCTTCAGTGCTGTCCCACACACACATACATGCATGTGAGAGTAAATACCTTTGTATTTAACCCATATGGTAACAATATACAAAGTGCTTTGCACTTTGGTTCTTGAACTTAATATTTGCTTTTTTGTTGTATTTGTTTTTCTTTTTTTTTCAATTTTAAGGTTTTCTTTTCCTTTTTCCTTTTTATTTATTTTTTCTTATTTTCTTATTTTTATTCAATGTATATGAGAGTATTGCCTGCATGTATGTGAGTGCACCCATGTTGTGCAGAGTTTATGGAGATCAGAAAAGGTGTCAGATTTCCCCTGGAACAGGAGCTACGGATGGTTGTTAGTCACGATGTGGGGGTTGGGAATCGAACCCAGGTCCTCTGCAAGAGCAGCCAGTGCTCTTAACTGCTGAGCCATCTCTCCAGCCCCTCTTTTTAGTATTTAAAAAGAAGTGGTTTGTTTGTTTGTTTGTTTTTTAGATAGGATATGATGTAGCCTGAATGCTGGGATTAAAAGTAAGAGGCACCACATTCAGGTGTTTGTTCAGATTTTTTATATTTATTTATTTGTTTGTTTATGTGTGTATTTACTTATTATGTATTTATTTGTGTGTGTGTGTGTGTGTGTGTGTGTGTACGTACATACACATGTCCTGGTACATGTGTAGGTCAGAGGACAATTTGCAGGAATTGATTCTCTGCTTCTACCATGTGGAAGCCTGAAGACCAAACTCAGGGTCATCAGGCTTAAAGGCAAATGCCTTTACCCCCTGAGCCATCTCACTGGCCTTGCTTGTTTGTTTTTTGAGGCAAGATCTTACTATTTAGCTCAGGCTGGGTTTAGATCTAGCTGTCCTCATGCCTCAGTCTCCAAAGCACTGGGATTACAGTTTCAGGCTCAATTTCTGTTAGCCCACAGGGAGCTTCCTCATGCTTGTGGATGCTTACACAATCACCTGTGCATCACAATTTATCTACTGACCCAAAGATGGAAGCGCAGGTGATTTCAGTCTTTTGCTATTCTATTATAAACAATGCTGTGTGTGAATAACCTTGAGTGACCTTGTACACGCATCATTTCACTTTAAGTATATCCTAAAAATGGAATGTGTGTGTATGTGTGTGTGTGTGGTGGGGATGGAACCCAGAACCTTGAGCATGCTAAGCACATGCCCTACCACTGCTCAACATCAGCCTTGCAGTCTGTTTTGACAACTTGCAGCTGAAGTGTTGAAGGTGAAGTTGTACTGTCTCTAGGAGTCACCCCTTCTCCCTGCCCCCCTGCTAGTGACTGATGAGCTTTCAGGTGGCACAACTGTCGGCAGCATGGTGCCAAGAAGTCCTTCTTAACAAAATCTGAAGTCAGGCATGGTGGCACACACCTTATTCCCAGCACTGAGAGGCAGAGGCAGGCAAATCTCTGTGAGTTTGAGGCCAGCCTAGTCTACATAGTGAGTTCCAAGCCAGCTGGGGCTACAGGGAGACCCTGTTTCAAAAAAAGATCTGTCATGGACTGGAGACATGGCTCAGTGGCTGAATGCTTGCTCTGCAAACATAGGGATCTGAGTTTGAATCTTCAGCACCCAAGTAAAAAAGCTGGGCATGGCTGGGCATACCTGTAACCTCAGCACTGGGGGAGTTCACTGGTAGTCAGCTTAGACAAAATAGCAAATTTCCAGTTCGGTGAGAGACCCTCTCTCAAAGCAATCTGATGGAGAGTGATGAACATGATAGAGGATGACACCTGATATTCTGCTGGCCTCAGCATACACATATAATGGGTGTGCTTACCTGCACATTCAGTGAATGTCACACACACATATACACACACACACACACACACACACACATACGCATGCACAATGTCAGAGCCAGGAGTCCCAAAGGAAGTAGAAAGGATCAGGTGTGAGGAGTGTTTAATAGTCTCAACTGATTAACCCAAAGCAGAGGACAAAACTTCAACCTTGTCTTGGATCACACGCTGCCTTTTCCAGTGTGTGAGGTCTGGAGACCTCAGGTGAAGAGCCATTTGAGCAGGGGCTTGAGTGTGGGTAAACGTTCAATGTGAGTGTAGAGAAAATCAGGCTCCTATTTAGGCTACGTGTGTCTTCTTTCTGGGTCCCTGAGGGACCTTCCATATTGTTATACTTGAAAGGTTACTTCAGAAAAGCTTTGGGGGAGCATGTGTGTGTTATGTCTTTTTTTTTTTTTATTTTAGACAAGGTCTCATGTAGCCCAGGCTGGCTCCAGATCTTTGTAACTGAGCATGACCTTGCCTCAATGCAAATCTTGCCTTAAATCAGCCCTCCAAGGGAGTCCTGCCTCCTAGAGCCTCCTCCATGGCACAGAAGTTCCTAGGCTAGTGGAGACCTTCCCTTGCCCAGGGCCTCTCCCCGGCCCCACTGAATCTGACTCCAAACTGGAACCAGGCCTGTGGCTCCCTAATGGCACCCTCGGGCCCTGTCCTCAACTGGGTAGGTATGTGTCAGAAACAGTGGAGCCCTGGCCTTTGGCAGAGTGTTTTCCATTTCCCCAGAGAACTGGGCCCTGCCTGGTACCCCTCAGGCACAGCCTCCAGGTCTGGAAGATCTCCTCCCCCTGGGCAGCACAGGTACTTCAGAAATTTCCAGTCCCTGTGCAGTCCACTATGAGGTTCTGAAGACCAGAGGGGGTGCTGAGAGGTCATCTGTGGGCTGGGACCCCTCTGCTCCTCTCAGCCTGGGGGTCCTGTGTGGGGCAGGAATTCAGCAGGCACTTCACAAAGGACACAAGCTGCAGATGCAGAGGGGGCTGCAGAGGAAGACAGGGACTCCCAGATGCCACCCAATATGAGGTGGAAAGGGCTGAGCCACCTTAGGTGGTGCCCTTTATCATGCTAAACTGAGTCTGATTCAACACCATCCCAGGTGTCCCTTCTGTTCAGTCAGCTACTGGGAGGACTCTACCTGGGATGCCACTTCACAACATGGGAACAGACTGTTTAGCAGAAGAGAAAAAGTCAGGCCAGCCCCACAGTCATGCCTGTGCTGGACACAGGAGGGAGTTTGCTTAGGGCTACATATACCTTTGTGCTCCCTCACCCCACCCACATACATATCCACTACATTTCCACAGACTAGAGACTAGACATGGCTGGGAACAAAGCCCAACAGCCTCTATGTGAGCACTTCCAGAGAGACATTTGTCTGTCTCTCTGTCTGTCTACCTGTTTATTTGTTGAAACAGAGTTTCATGAAGTCCAGGTGGGCTTGAAACTTCTTATATAGCCAAGGGTGATCTTAAATTCCTGCTCCTCCTGGGATTATAGGTACGTACCACCATATCTGCCAGTTTTAACAGTGCTGGGGATGGAACTCAGGGTTCTGTGTGTGCTAGGCAAGCCACATCCCCAGCTCAGCATCACCCTTTTCCTCTAGCTCCTGGTACCTAGTAGAGATCTGCCCATGATCCCTTGCCCTGTTCTTGGTACATCACACTGAGGCTGAGAATCCATCTCCAGACAGTCCATGTGGGATCCTCCAGAACAAGCCTTGTCCACTCTGTTAATCCCCATATCTCAATGTGGCCTCCTTCCCTGACCCCTTTACCTTCTTATTCCCTCCACCAGGGACGTGGGTGATGTTATCCAGGGAACCGATCTTCGACTGGACTCTGTCCTTGAAGTCCAGTTTCTCAGATTTTACTTCCACCTGGCCACCTCCTGGAATATAAAACCCACACAAGAGCCTCTTGCCATCTTCTGTGATCTGGGAGACTTAGCATACATGCAGTGAGGTTGCAGTCTCCAGAGCAGTGCTCAGGGCTGCTGGAGGCATGGCAAAAGGGAGGTTCCACTGCTCTGGAAGGGAGTATTCAATGACATGATCATTCTGTGACTCCAACAAGGGCTTGGCTAGTGATCCCAGGTACAGTCCAACCTCAGAGTTGACAGGGCTCTTTATCTAGAAGGGAACCCTTGTAAGGCTTGTATCTGCCTCATCTCTAATCAAGGCGCACATCAAATATTTACCCTGCAAAGCCTTCCTCCTGAGATAATTCAAAGGTAAACGAAGGTTGGCCAGGAGAAGTTATGTGAAACTCTAAATCGGTTGCCTTCCAACCAGTTAAGTTTTTCATACTAACATCCTGTGAGCCACAGTTCCTCAAGATCTTGAAATGGAGCTTAACATCAAAAGTACAGCCCTAACCTTCTCTCCTCCTTGACCCAGAACTCCACACCCTCTTCTAGCAGGAGAGGTAACCTGGGCAACCTAGGGAAAGGTGGAGTGAGTTGCTCACAGCATGCTTTGATTAAACACAGGCACAGCAAGGCTGACAACAGCCCAGAGGGGCCCATATTGTAACTGGCAAAATGGCCCCCAGGTTGGATGGGGACAAAGCTGGCCTTTGGGGGCCAGATCAGGCCCATGACCAGGCCCCCTGTGTAGGCTCTGCTGGAGAGTGACATACTGAGGTATGAGTCTAGAGTCTCCTCTCCCTCCATACCTTGCCTCGGTTGACCCAAGGTGGTGCTCAGGAATAGGCAGGGACAACCACACCTCCCAGGCCCCCACAGTTCCCCCCTTATACTGCCCAGGCTGGCTTATCCAAGGAAGTCTTCCCAGCCACTTTACCCACTAGCCCAGCCACTAACTTTGTATCCCAAGGCCAGCTTTCCCCAAGGCCTACCTGGTTTATGATGGATGTTGCCTAATGAGCCACACTTGGAGGTCACCTTGCTCAGGTCCACTGGTTTGTAGACTATTTGTACCTGTGGGTATGAGAGGATGAGAGAGAGAAAATAAAGGAGGTTATGTTACTGTGGGTATAACACAATGCTAAACAACTGTGAGAGCAGAACAGCGCAGTCAATGGCTCCCATCAGTCACCCGGACACACCCCCAGTCAGGGTGGAAAAAACCCAGTACCAACCCCACCCTGCCCCAGGGAGCTGGATCCTCACAAAATAATTGTGAGATGGAGCATCATCAATCCTAGCCAGCACAGAAGACCTTGAAAAAGCAGAGACACCTGGTCCTGTGCATGACCACACCACCTATTTAGCAAACATTTAAATGCAAAAACATAAATCCTTTTGTTGAGGAGAAACAAAGTACGCCCCGTTGAGGCAGTAGGGAAGAAGTGGCCCTGGAAGTGCCTGGAAGAGGAGAGGCGGGGTGAGGTTCCATCTAGGAAGTTTCCACAGTCCTGGGTGAGCAGGACCCAGAACAGCTCTACAACCCAGGATAAGAGCCAGCTGGCTCCTGAACACACAGTCTCTGCCTCTACCACAGGAGAAAGAAATACCAACAGGGAGGGCAGACACAGCAGAAACCACAGGTTTAGTGTCTCAGCAAGCATGAGTGAGCAGACAGGACACACAGGGATGTCCACTGACCCAGGGTCCTTCATGTGGCCCAGCAGCAGTGCCCATCCTCTCTCTGGGAATGAGAGCCCCTGATCCAGGATCCTGTGAGAGGAAGGACACCCTCAAGGAGACCCCCTGAGCAGACGGGGCTCCTGAAGGCCAGTCTGGCAGAGCTGTGGTCTTCACCGTTTAGAAGGCTGGTCACTGACTGCCACTGCCAAGTCTCTCCTGAATTGACTTAGTGTGGGGTTATCACAGGGAGGGGAGGCTCATCTCCTGTCCTGGGAGAGGACTGGCCTCCTGTGTGAGAATTGGCTTCTCAAGGCCAGCAGATAGCAAGATAGGCTGTCAATAGCCATCTAAATGGACCAATCCCTGTTATTTTCATGCACAGCTATGCTGATGGTGTTTTTTGCTGACGGAGCTGATTGAAGTAGAGGGCTCTGGGGTAGGTACTGATGGAGGGGCCAAGGGACTGGTAAGGATATTCCTATTCAGGGAGGGGCAGGAGTGCTGAGGTGACAGGGCCTTACTTCGTTCCCTCTGGCCCTGGGTAGAATCACTTGAGAGAGAGAACCAGGTGTGGCAGGGGCAGAAAACCTCAGAAAGGCCAGAAAAGTATGGAATGTATGGGGGTGGGTTCCTGGGATCCTGGAACCCACAGAGGCAAGAGAGCAGCCTGGAGAAGAGGCTGCAACCCAGACAGGAGGTGAGGCCTCCCAAGATGGGCTGGGGGCAGGGGCAGCCTACTGGCTAGAAGTCCCCCTAAATTAGGGAGGGGGCTGGAAGCAAGCCAGAGGTGGATCCCCCAGGCCAGGGATTCTGCAAACAGGAGGAAATGCCAGAAGCTGTAACCACCAGCCATCTCCCCCAAGGAGCTTTTTCTGTAGGCTCTCCTGTAATCAAGTGGTCAAGCCTGAGGACAGCCCTCTGTTATCCTAGGCTATCCTGTGGTTCAGTATAAGGCTAGCCCACAGGCTGGCACATTGCAGCAGACCTCAGAGAAAGTTCCCTAATGTCCTGGGCACTTCAGCCTCTTTAGACAGTCAACATGTGACCAGAGCTACCCTGAGCTGGCTCTTCCCAATTTCCCCTGCAGGAGCACCTGCCCTCTGCAGCCTGAGCCCTCAGTCCAAGCAGCAGGCCATGCATGAGACAAACCAGACACCCCTGGCTGAGCCACAGCAAGCCTGTGTTGGGAGGCCAGAGTACTGCAAACAACAAGCCCAGGGACAAGGGCTGGACAGTGAGGGGGGTCATTAATGACCACCTTTTCCCTCCCTCCCTCCCTCCCTCCCTCCCTCCTTCCCTCCCTCCCTCTCTTCCTTTTGTCTTCCTTTGGAGTAGTTTATTGAGTACACTGTGAGAGAGCAACAGGCTGAGCAGAAACTAGAGGCTAGCTAGTAGCCTTGGCTCTCTTTTTTGAAACAAAAGACAAGTGGGGGGTGGGCAGGAGCGCAGGAAGTGGGGGACAGAGGAGACAGCAGACACTGTGAAGAAGCATGAGCAGCCTCATGCAGCAGCCACAGGGCCAGGGCCTGCTGCTCTGGGGCCAGGAGCTGGAGAGGTAGAAGGCAGGGTGGAAGGCAGCAGCACATTGCAAGAATAAACCCTGCTGGAGGCATTTTCTAGAAAGACAGCCTACCCTAGGGCTCCAGCAATTACAGGGCTCAGCCAGCAGGACCATGCTGACAGAGAGCTGGGCCCCTCCTGGGGCCTGATCCTGAGCTGGGGATGAGAAGGGATATGGCCAGAGAGAAAGCTGAAGCTAGTTTGCAAACCTTGCCCTGTAGGCACAGGCCAGCCAGGAGGACAAGGGAATCCCAGTGTCCATCAAGGAGCAGATGGGAAGGGAACCTGAGAACATCTCGCAGGGACCCACTGAATATGCTCAGGGTCCCCAGCGGTATTTGGAGAAACCACATTTAGAAGGACCCTAAGCATCCTTAACTCTGGCAAACTGAGGGCAGACAGAGTCACCGGTGGCACCTCTGTTTGGCTCTTTGTATCTAGAGTCCCTGTCCCAGTGGAGAGGTTTTAAACTGTAGCTGAGAGGTTAGGAATCGCTCCCCCTCTTGAAGATAAAGGAAAACAGAGGGGAAACTGAGGGTGACTAGGACCCTCCTGACATTGATGGAAGTCCTCAGTGTCCATTTCTCAGAACATATGGGCTGTCTGTCCACAGCAGAACTGCCCAGAGGTGGGGGTTCAGTCCAATCTCAGGTGCCACCATCTTCGACTCCATTTCCAATGGGCCATGGGGACCCAGCTTCCCAGGGAGGAGCTAGAGAGAGCCAATGGCCATCTCCACTCTGCTGGGCCCTTCCTGGAACATGGAGGAAGGCTGGGAACAGTGGACATAAGTATGTGTCCATTTTCCTGGGGGGGACATAGGAGTCCTGAGCCTGCGATGATTTATTCTATGCAATGTCTCACAAGTACACACTCATGCCACTTCTCAAAGCGAAGGCCATAGACGCTGTGTGGAGAGTGTGACGGCTCGGTACTCACACTGCCGCCGCCTGGAACGTGTTTGATATTGTCCTTTGAGCCACACTTGGACTGGACGTTGCTAAGATCCAGCTTCTTATTAATTATCTGCACCTTCGACAGCCAGAAAAGAGGATGAGTGATGACAACGCCCAGAGTCGTCTGCTGGGCCAACACCGGCCCCCAACCTGCTGACCCCTGACCTGCCACCTGCTGAGGAGGGCCTCACCTGAGCCCCACCTCCTCAGGAGCTAAGGGGACAGGGGATGGGCCTTCCAAAGAAGGAAGGAGAGGCTGCCTGGGAAGGCACGGAAGATTTCAGGAGAGCATCCCTTAGAAAACACGCCTGGAGACTGTCAGAGATGAGACACCCCCCCCCCCAACAAGTTTGGATGGAGCAACCAACATCCCCTAAGGGTCCCAGAAACAAAAAAACCCAGCCACACCTATGTTAAAGATTCTTCTACAGCTGATTAGGACTTCCATGACTGTGGAGAGTTGGTTGGTTACAGGTTTCAAGCCAAATGATCTTAGGCTGGGCCGGTGAGGTGGCTCAGCAGGTAAAGGTGCTTGCCACCAAGCCTCAGGGCCTGAGTTAGATCCCCAGATCCCACATGGTGGAAAGAAAGAATTTTCACAAATTGTCCTCTGACCGCCACACACATGCCATGGCATATGCAGGAACACAAACACACACACACACACACACACACACACACACACACACACACACACACACACACACACACCACTAAATGAATGTACTAAAATTTGAAAAAATTATCTTGGGCTATTTTTACAACCCCATTTTTTTAACCCCTTTTAATAGCCATGCATTGCCCATCTCTGTGTGTGCCCAACATCCTTGTGACTATTAGCTAAATCTTTTTGGAATGTACAAACAGCCCTCTAGCTTCCACTAACCCAAAGACTAAGACACCAGGGAGATTTCCCCACTTGCTATATCCCACCTCTCTGGTGGTTCCTACTAATGTATTTGAAAACAGTATCAATAAGGTGTGGTTTTTTTTTTTTTTTTTTTTTTTTTTTGAGACAGGTCTCCTTGTAGTCCCAGATGGTCTCGAATTCACTATGTAGACCAGGCTGGCCTCGATCTCACAAAAATCCACCTGCCTCTGCTTCCCAAGTGCTAGAGTTAAAAGAATGAATCCTTTCTTTTGTTTTGTTACTAGAAAAACTTCACAACACTGTTTACCTTGTCAGAACACTGTTTACCTTGTATTTGGGATAACCTAAATCCATGTTCTGGGGCCTTGGTCACTCATAATTTGGCTCCAGAATAAACTGATATTCCCTCTGAGGTGACACCTGTATCCTCACTCATACCAGAGTTATAGAACAACCGTGGGAAATATCATTGGCTGTTCTCAAGCCTGTGGACCACAGGGACCACCTGAGACCCCAAAGAAAATCCTAATCTAATCCTGACCTGGGATTAGAATATTGAAAATCTGGTGTAAGTGACTCCACATTTTTCTTTCCGTTTATGTGTTTTGTTTTGAGGTTTTTGAAAATGGGTCTTCTAACTCAGGCTGACCTTCAACTCAATGTGTAGCCAAGGTGACCTTGAACTCCTGAGCCTCCTGCCTCTACCTCTGGGGTGCTGGGATTCCAGGTGTGTACAACCATGCTGGGCCAGTTTCCTTCTCAGAACCATGATGCCTGTTTCCTAGTTTTTAGGCAAAATTGGTAAAATTATTTCTCCACACAATGCTAATATCCCCTCACCTTCTCTGACACCTGGAAGAACAGCTCACAGGCTGACAAATGGCGCATGAGTACAGCCCTTGCTGCAAAAGCCCAGAGACCCGAGTTCCATCTTAGAACCTACATTAAGGTGGAAGAAGACCAACTCCACAAAGTTATCCTCTGAGCTCTGCATGCATGCTGTGGCACACATGGTCCCTCCTACTCTGTTCTACACACACAGTAATAATACATTGCTGCAAACAGACTACATGGGACATGGATTCAGCTTCTTCCAGTGCTTGCTGGGATGCAGGTAAAGAGGGTAGACAGCTGAAAGGAGGAGCACCTCCCTATGTAGCCAAGAACGATTCTGAATTCCTGATCTTCCTGTCTCCACTTCCTGAGTGCTGGAATTACAGCTGTGCTCTACCATGCAGGGTTTATGCAGTGCTGGGGATTGAACCCAGGGCCTCCTCCATGCAAGTCAGAACTCTACCCGTTGAGTCACATCACCAGCCCCTTGTTTTTGTTCTGAGACAGGGCCTTGTTAGTTGCCCAGGCTGGCTCTGAGTTGCTGGGCTCAACCATCATACCACCTCAGCAACTTAGCCTCCTGAGTAGTTGGAATCACAAGTTTCTGTCACCTCCCCTGTCTAAGCGTTGTTGTTGTTGTTGTTGTTGTTGTTATTATTATTTTATAAAGTCTTTTTGAGACAGGGTCTCTCTGTAGCCCCAGTGGACCTGTAACTTGATATGTAGCCCAGGCTGGCCTTGAACTCACAGAGATCTGCCTGCCTCTACCTCCCTGAGTGCATGAACCACCTACTTTTGTTTGAGAGGTCTGTAGCCAAGCTGACCTTGGGTTTGAGCTCCACCTGTCCTGTAAGCATTATATTTAACACCATGTCCTATTTCACTATGTGGACTGTTCCTGGGTTCTCAAATGTTTGCATTGATTCATATAAGTAGCATGGATGTTTTTCATATCGTAGATTATTTTCATAGTGCAGAGTCCTAGAAATAGAATTTCTAAGTCAAAGTTATAAACATTCTAAAAACTCTCAACACAGCTCTCCAAATGGCCTCCTAAAAGGGCTGGGCTAATCCTCCCTGAGAGCTCTGTTGACAAAGCCGGCTGACCTCAATGTGCCAGCTGAGGGCATGTAGCAGTGCTTGGCTCTCACCTACGGCATGAGTTCTAGGTGGGGACATGTGCTTCCAGGTGGAGGGCATGGTCTGGCACCAAAAAGCTTGGGTGTGAACCTGGCTCAGCTGTTGACATTAGATAATCCATTTAGACCCCCCTGTGCTTCGGCTTCCCCACCTACAAACTAGGGGTGCTGACAGTAATGACCTCCCAGAGCCAGTGATGGGGGTGAAATGAGTCAACCTCTAGAGTGGCAGAAACAGGGTCTGGCACATACTGATTGCCCAGCAGTCAGCTGTTACTGTCCCTATTGCCTTGGAATAGCTTCAGATCCTAAGTATTACACAATTGTCACGATAAACTCTCTGTCTCTCTCGGTCTCTCTCGGTCTCTCTCGGTCTCTCTCTCTCTCTCTCTCTCTCTCTCTCTCCCTTTTTCTTTCCTTTGTTTCTGAGACAGGGTCTCATGTAGCTCAAGTTGGCCTCAAGCTTGATATGTAACCAAGGATTGACCTTGAACTCCCAATCCTCTTGTCTCAGCCTCCTGAGTCCTAGCATTACAGATGTGAGTCACCATGACGGGTTGTAACTTTTCACTGGATAAATGCCCAAAGCAGATTTGCCTGTTTTAAAAAAAGGAATGAGGGATGGGGGTGCTGAAGACTACTTCCTACTCTTACAGAGGACCAGAGTTATGGTCCCAGCACCCATGTTGGACAGCTCACAACTATCTGTAACTCTAGCTCCATGGGATCGGATGCCCTCTTCTGGCCTCTGCAGGCACCTGCACACATTCAGAATACATTTACACAGACACAAACACAGACACACACACACACACACACACACACACACACACACACACACACACTCCTTAAAAAACCCAACAGGGACTGGAGAGATGGTTCAGCAGTTAAGAGCACTGCTGCTCTTGCAGAGGACCCAGGTTCAGTTCTCAGCACCCACATGGTAGCTAACAATAATCTGTAACTTCAGTTCCAGGGGATCTGATGCCCTCTTATGACCTCTGTGGGCACTGCATGTGTATGGTGAACTTACATACAAGCAAACAAAACACTCATACACATTGAAACAACAACAATAAAAAATCAAAAAATCAGGCTCATGCCTGTCACCTCAGCACTCTAGTAACTGAGGCAGAAGGACTGCTGCTAGTTCAAGGTCAACCTGGATACACAGTGAGTTCTGGCCCTGCCTGACTACAATATGAAACCCTGTTTAAAAATGCCCAGAATGGAAACAGTTTAGAATTAGAAAACACACACCCAATAATAAAACAAGCTTCTTTAAAGGCTGATGTTAACATAAAGGGAGGTCAAACATATGACACTGATTATTACATTTAGCTCTGAGTTTACTGGCAGCCAAAATGAAAAAGGAAACATGATTGGTTACATAACTCCTTATTTAACAAAGAAAACAGTTTTCAGAGGAAGATAACTTGTTTTCTGTACTAATCCAAAAAGAAACTAATGAAATTAATCAAAGGACATTAAGCAATCATGCAAAATCATACATAGAAACTGTTTTTTTTTCCATGTATCTTTTTCTTATTCTAACCCCACAGAAAAAGCAAGAAGGTTTTGTGGGATTTGGCAATAGACACAAAGATATTTACAAAGCATACTTGAATTACTGTTATCTGTCACTTTAAGTCAACACCCTTAACAGAATCCCAGATTTACAGAAGGGAGAGAAGAGGGCAGTGGTTGTCATTGTGAAACTTGAGTAATTTCCCAGCTTCAGTAACATGTACCATACTGGGCCTCAGCCCTGACTAGACACTGGAAATACCATAGGGAGAGGATGATGTTTTGAGTCAGCAGAGAAATGTCTGTGGTTAAGGATTGACCCTGGAAAAGAGGCTGCAGTGGGGTAGGGCTGGCTGGATGAATCCACTTTAGTTTATCCACTTCCCAGAGAGCCAGCCCAAGCTCTTGAATTACTTCTGCCTGGGTTCCCTCCTTGGCCCCAGGCTGCTGTCCCTAGCCTCACCAGGACAGTGGGTCAGGGCAATGCCCCATTGGGAAATGAACCACATGTGGGCAGTGGATGCTCACAGCAAGCCTTGTCTTAAAGTCCAAGGTGATCACCCTGGGAACAGACACAAAAGGCCTGTCCACATCCTGTCAAGCCAACAGGTCAAAGGCAATCAGATAACAGAGGACAGACTCCTTTAAAATGTTTTCATCTATTATTTTTATCTTTTTGATTTATTTTTATTTTATGTATATGAG